ACATGAAAAGTATAGCACACGCCATCAACAGATGGGAGCTGTAAGTATGTAGGCACCACGATTCCTGTTCAAAGGCTGTTTGGTGGGAGAACTGGGAGCCCAAGGCGGCCCCCTTCCTCTAGGCCCGTGGGCCTCCTCGCCATTATAGACTACTTAGCTTCCTGGAGTGCTATGAGCAGCCAGGCCAGCCAATAGGAGGTGGAAGAAAGAGCTCCCATCAGAAGAGGAGAAAGAGTGGGAAACCATGGCCTGAGGTCCTCCAACCCCAGTCCTGTTCCTTCTCACTAAGGGTTCCTAAGAGAAAGCCATTGGGCCACAGGTTCCACCATCTTGAGTCACGGAGCACGAAGGAGTTTGGGGTCTGCAATCTATGGACAGACCCTCCCATCAGCACTGGCTGGGCCGTTTGGGGTGGGGGTGGAGAGGAGGCCGAAGGAGATGCCAACATCCTCGGCTCCCTTCCCAAGTCCTGCCTTGGGCCCCTGACTGATCCTGCAGCTGTGCCCTCCTTCCGTCCATCTCACGCCCTCTCGGAGCTCAGCCGGAATCCTTTGACACAGGCTCGGCTTTGCCCATGGACTTGGCAGTGTGCCCTGCCTCTCTTCCCCACCCCATTACTCACAGAATCCCTACACAGTTCCTTTCAACCCCTGGGGAAGCTAGAAGAAGGCTCTGGGCCGGAAATGGGAAAAGCCCCACTTTGCCAAGCCACCCATTCTCCAGCTCAGTGAATAGGGACCTTCTTGACTCTTGGCTAGAACTTCCAACAGGAAGGTAACACCGAAACTCTGCCAAGAGCTGCCGGAGGGAGGAGGGTAAAGAGACGAGGAAGTGAAGGGTGAGAAATGATGAGCCCACTTTCCCAAGTGAACCACTTCTCGGGGTCACATGGTCAGCCAAGAGGCAGAGGGGAGAGAGGCCAACTTTTTCCTGCTCTGGAAGGCTGGTCTCTCAGCCTCAGTCAGCCCTCTTCTCTCTCCCAGCTTTAGCCCCTCTCACCTGCAGTCACCTAAAGAACCTGGAGAAGTTCCCTGCTTCTCTCCTTCCTGGTTCACAGCACCGTATTCTCTTGCCCGGCCTCTTCTAAGTCATGTTCCTTCCTCATTTGCTCCCTCCCCTCTCATATGTCGTCCTAGGTCTCAGGAAATACTCCTGACCATGCTCCTCTCCAGGGCACAGAGGAAAACGCCAGTCCTTAACAAGACACTCAAGGCCTCTATTTTGGTTTGTCACCACTATTTCCCTGCATATAGCCTATGGTCCAGTCTGTGTCTTCAAACATCCACACGACTTCAGCGTCTGCGTCATCTGCCGATGTTTCATTATGTCCTGGAATGCTGCTTACCCCTGTGTGTGTCCCTATCACTCGCTCAAGGCCCTACATATGTCTCTCCACAATAGGACGTTTGCATCTCATGTTGCTTCTCCTTACTGAGAGCACTGAACATATGCCCTTATAGAACATATAATCCCCATTTCTACACATCCTTGTACATCCCACTGAGCAGGCAGCAGCAGCGGCTCTGTAGTCGTCTGTCTAGGTCTGAATCCAACCCTCACCGCTTATCATCTCTATGACCTTGGCCCAGGACCTAACCTTCTCGGGTCTCTGTTTTCTTGTTTTAGAAATGAAAATAAATCTGGGTAGAGTGGCTCACACCTGCTATTCAGCCAGGCTAGGTAAGTTTAGGTGGTGAGACCCTGTCTAAAAATAGTCTGCATGTACTTGCACATGCACATAACCCCCCCCCCCCACACAAACATATACAGAGAGAAAGAGAGAGAGAGAGAGAGAGAGATGACAATAGTAAAATTACAACGTATTAGGTTGCTTTAACAGTTGGACAGTGTCATGCATTTCACTATATCAGTACCAAAAATTGAACATAGGATGTCCCATGTGCTAGGCAAGTGTTTTATATTGAGTCATGACACCAACCCTGGCATTTTAACATCAATATATGTTATCTTTTTCTATTAAACTGTAATTATACCTTCCCTGAAGACAAAATCTGGATCTCTTTTGATTTGTATCCACAGTACTGTGTCTCGTTGGTGCCTTGAACCAGTATGAACTCAGCAAACCTGTCTGACCCTTCAGACAAGGCCGACATCCAGTTTATCCCAGACTGGGTCTGGTGGCACGTCCTGTCCTTGGAAGGCTAAGAGCAGGACACACTCAAGTCCATGGCCAGATTTTCCTTATATTGTCACTTAATCTTCACAGTTGCTATATGAAGTAGGATTTGGGGGGAGGGGGAGAAAGAGGTATTTTTAACAACTCATTCTAATGATGGGAAAAGCAACTAGTGTGCCAGAGCCAGACAGGGCCAAGCTTTGGGTTCAAGTTGACCTGACCCTGAATCATGTGTCCCAGCTGATCCCAGACCAGCTGACCCAGAAGTTTTCTGTCTTCCCCTGGGGAGAAAAAAGGGGGTGGGCTTTACACACAGAGAACGAGATGTTTCTGCAGAAGCTTTTCTTTGTTCTAAAGAAACTTGCTGTTTTGCTCAAGACTCAAGAGCTCCAATGGTAACTTTCCCACGCCCTTCCTTCTCTTTAGTTTGTCTTTAGGCCCTATTCCTTAGTCCTGTGCTAGGACATCCAGAACTTAGAGCCACTAGTGACTACGGAGCTGCCTTCTGGGAATGAATGCAAGCTCCCTGAATGGACTTTCTCCAGTCTCTGAAAGAGAAGCCCCTTGGTTGCTTCCCCAGGGCTGAACTAGGACCAGCCTTTCATAGTGTCTTCCCAACACATCTCCATCCTCCAGGAAGCCTCCCCAGTCTGGCTGGACTTTCAGGAGCTCTGATCACTCAAATTTTATGCATTTGGTTTGTTCAGAATTGACCTGAACTCACAAGAAAGTGTGCTGGGAGCGTCCTCTGTCTGCTCTCCTTGTGTGTCTGTGTCTTCACACTCATTGGAACCCCACAAGAGAGCTGTGGTAAAGAACAGCTGGTCTCAAGGCCTATGTTCAGGCAGGCCCCGCTTTGGCAGCTGGAGGGGAAGGGAAGTGCTGGACATTGTAGCCCCCCCCCCATTAAGAAGTGTGTCAGCTGTTGCTACTTTTTCAGCCACGTTTCATTCCTGAAACTCGACCCTCCTCCCCTTCCAGGCAGGGAGAAAGGGCCAATACTCTAGCTATCAACTTAATTGCGCCAGGGTCTCTGAACTCTCTGCCTCCTGCATTTTTACAATGCAAGTTTTTTTGCTTCAGGAAATTTGAAGCTTTGGCTATGCCATACTTCAGGAACAACTTTCCTTGGCTGTGTTTTCGGTGCCAAGGAAGGAACTGGATAAAAATGGGGAACACAGAACACCCTGGACAAAGACAATTTCACAACCTGCTAAGGTTGCCTTCTGCAACAGCCGTATCCCTCCAGTGTCTACAGAATGTTCCTGAAGGGAATTTAACAAAACAAGCAAATGTAGATCTTAATCTGAATTACATGAGGCATTCCTGGGCCAGAACCTGGAAATATACAATCCTTTTGGATAGGACAGGGGATCCCACCTGGAGTGAAACAGCCACAGGGCAAAAGCCCCCACTCACAATATAAACTGCCTGTAGGTTATGCTTACTCCAATACAGCCCTAGGGTTTAAAGGAGCCCAAAGTTCCATATCCCCAACACAGCCATGGAATTCAATCCCTACAGTCCCTGGAGGAAGACAGCTCAGGGTGGGCCCAGGCTAGCACTTTGCTTTCCTCTTTGCTCCAATTGCTCAGTACCCAGGCACAGAGATTCTGACTTGCTACTTAAACCCCGAGGGAAGGTGTCTGGGAGGGAATGGGACTCCAAAAGCTCTGCCTATCGCTTGCTCGCTAGGACTCTTCTTCAGTAAGCTGGCACTAAGGAAGGAGCAGAGTACCATGGGGATGAAGAACTCCCCCATCTGAGTGTCATTCTGGGCCCAGGGCCAGGCAGTTGGCTTCCTCTCCAAGACAGTCAAAGGCTGGAGATGCTCAGACAAAAGGCCAAATGAAAACCGATGGGGAGCAGGGTGACTTTAGCCTTTCTCTTTCCTTCTCCCAGGCACAGGGGCTCAAGGCCTTGGTGGAGGGTTTGCAGATCAAAATCTGGGAGCTCAGCTCAGTGCAGATTTCTTCCTTCCTTCCTCATCCTTGCTTCCTTCCTTTCTTTTTTAAATTCTTTTGACATCCACAGACTGTCTTCCTCCCCTCACCACCTCCCACCTAGAGTGATGTAAAAAAAAATGCAAATCAGTGAAGATTTAGAAAATTCATTCCCATGCCAGGAACACCCACAAACCCTCTCTATAGATGCTCATGTAGGTGGCGTGGTCCCAGGTTCCTGGCACAAAGAGGATCCTATTAGATTCTTTTCTCAGCACGGGCTTTGATCCTCACCATTGTCTGTAATGATCTTGGTCTTTCTTTCTGGTACTGGCCACATGAAGTGGGAGCATGAACACAGGATATTTATGGGCCAGGGCCACCATCCTGAACTAGCGTGACCAGCATGTGAAAAAGGATAAGGTACACAGTACAGGTTTCGAAGAGCATCACAGGACACTTTGTCTCTCACCAAAGAAATATTTCCGGAGAGGCAGTAATTTTCTCATCTGAGGGTCATCACAGAAAGGGTTCCGGAGGAAGAACTAAGGGAGTGAACAGCAATCTGAGAAGACAGACGCATGGACTGGGACAGACAGGACTGACTAGTGCCAGGGCATCTTGGTCAGGGAGCATCAATAAGAACACCTGCTACTTCAGCCCCTTTCCTCTACCCTTCTACCACCAAAGCCTGCCCCTAACACACTGCCAGGCAGGCAGAGTGGGGCCTCTACAGACACAAATGGGAAGGGACTTCTAGGATCCTAAGAGGCCTGAGCTCTCTGGATTCAAGTCTGCTGTTGGATACCTAGTGACCTGGCTCTGAAACGAAGTAAGAAGAGGGTAGCAAAATGAGACAGGGGAGCCCACAGCTGTGAGAGACAAAATGAAAGAGACCTGAAGAGCTGGAGTGAGAGGAGGGAGCAAAGAGAGTCTAGATGAAGAAGGGAAGTCCAGAGACGAGATGCGATGCCTGAATCCCGGTGGTAAAGGAACACTAAAGGTGAGGGGGGGGAGCGTGAGAGAAGGCGCGCGCGCGTGCATGAAATCATACTCAACCTGACCTCCCCAACACAGCCTTAGCAGTCATTTCTCCCTCTTCGGTGATTCACTCCCCCTCCCCTGGGTAGCATACTCACTCTCAGTACCCCGGGGCCCCGCACACTCCCCAAGCCCAGACCTGACATCTGGCCGGGCTTCCACAACTCCCGCTTGCGATCTGCCAGGCAGCGCCCCTCCTCCCCCGTCATTACAGCTGCCACCCCCCTCCCTGCTGGCAGACAAGCCCGGGCAGACAGCCGGCCAAGCCTGCCCCCGCAGCCGCGCCAGCTCTGCCAAGCCCAGGAGAGCTGGGGGCCCCGGGCGGTGCCAGCTCCCCACGAGCGAGCGAGCAGTCCAGCCTGACCTCCTGCCCAGGACAGGGATCTGTCCGCGCGCTGCAAGAGTCCAGCACCCGAGCACCAGGGCCCGCTGCATGCCTGTCGCTCCTGCAACTCTGGGCACTTGAGCCTTACTCCATATGTGTGCCGGTCCTCTCTGGGTGTGCCCCTCTTTTCTTCTTCGGTTGTTCTGTCATATTTCAGCCTGGCTAGCTGCCCTCACTCCTTGTTACTTGTTCATATCTCATCAGAAATCTTTGCCAAAGTTTCTTGCCTCTGAGCGACGGCCTTATAGCATCTACCTACCAGTTGGCATCTCCTCTCCTCTCCTCTCCGCGCCTCTCTGGTGCATGGAGCTTGGGGCCGACGCCAGGTACCTAGGTCTGGGTGGGGAGCCCTCCCTGTCCCCCAGCTCCTGCTCGGTTCTTACCAGCTCCTGTTTGAGGCGACGCAGATAGCAATCCATGTCCCTGCTCCCCTTCCTCATTCGCCCATTTGCTGGGCTCGGGCTCACGAGAAAGTAGAGTTCTCAGTGCGCTCCTCGTCCCTGGCCGCGCAGAGCGAAGCCTCTGCTACAGCGTGGGGACTTAGAGCGACGTCCCCAGCCGCTGCCGCTCGCGGTCCGGGTTGGGGGTGGAGGAAAAGTGCAGCAGCCAATGAGAAATCAGAAGGGGTGTCTTCGACCAATGAGAAGAGCTGCCTGAGGGGCGCGGGCTGGGCGACCTGAGTAGGTCTGTCGCCGGCCTTGCCGTGGCCAGCAGCAACTACTGGGGACCCAAGGAGGTTGGGTTCTGGGCTCTGTCAGGAGGTGGAACCTCAGACTGTCAACGCCCCCCCTCCCCCAGTGAAGTCTTAATCTATTAGAAAGGAAGAACGGAGTTTTAGGGGTGAGAACTCGGTATCTGGCTCGGGGAGAAGGGTCCCAGTGTTTAATCTTAATTGAACTCGGTTTCTAGAAGAAACAGTTCCCCTTTGCTGCCCCTCTGAAGTCCCTCAGAAGCCTTTTCTTTCTCAAGAGAGCCTTGGAAGCGCCGTGCCTCTTCATCTCCTCCCCACTCTCTTCGCCGGGGGAAGGAAGGGGCTTTCGCTAGGTGTCAGCTCATGTGGGGGTCTGCTGTGCCCACCGCAAAGTGGTAGACCTGGAGATACTGAATAAGAGAGACAAAGTCTCATCCTTCCAGAACTTTTATCGTGGGGAGAGAAGAAAGTATGAAACAAATAAATGCAAGGGTCGTCATTTTAGAAAGTGAGTGTAAATGGAAAGATAAAAATATGTGGCGATGGGGCCTGCTTGAACCTGCTGACCTTCTTGAACTAGAGGAGGGGAGGACTTAAAAATGCTCTGATTGTAGTCGACAGGAATCTCCCCAAGATGCACCAACTCCTACTGAACCCAAGCGGTGGAGTTGGGGCACAGCAGACAAGATGCTTCTGCGGGCTAGCCCAACTCGGGACTCCCTAAGCAGGCCTCCGGGCCGCTTGCCCAACTTGAGTTGCTCTTGGTGAGCAAAAGCCAACAGTGGTGTGGCAGAGGCCGAGAGTAATTAGGGCAATTAGCTATGCGTTGTTACAAGATAATTAATAGGGGAAAGTTTGCTCCTGGCAAGATTTTGGTGGTCTGCATAGGACAGAACCAAAAGGACGCAAGAGAAGGTGCCAAGGGAGAAGGCAGACACTGCTGGCGTTCCTTAGGGGTCAGTCAAGATCATATCTGCAGAAAGTTGAGGGGTAGGTGCAGAACCCGGTGACTGTGACCTCACTCCCGGCCTCCCTTCAAACTCCTCTTCAGAGTGACATATCACTCAAAAGATTAGACAGAAAGGTGCTGAAAAATCTATTCAAGAGTTTCCTGTGCCAGGGGGAACCTAAAATGGGATTCCCATCTCTGTCTTGATGGGTCCATGAGTCTGCCCCCCGTGGGTCAGAAAGGAACGTTCTGGTATGCATTTTCTCCTCCACCCCGACCATTCTGGGAGTGAAGGCAGGTCTCCCACTCCAAAGGCCTCTTTTTTTTTTTTTTTTTTTTTTTTTTTTTTTTTTTTTTTGCCAGCTTAGACCTCCAGCCTGCAGAACAGCAGCCTGTTGTAAGGAGCTCCGTAAACATTTGCAGATCTGTGGTTTTCTCCATCCCTGAAGCCTGGGCATGAACCTCCCTCAGAATTTAGGATACTGGCTGTGCTTGAAATGCCAGGCGAAGCCGTCTGGTCTCTTGACAAGGACCTAGTCCTCTTGGGGCTACAGTATTGGCAACATGTGCTTTCCTTTTACTGGGTACCCATTTCTCCTGCTTATCACCTGCTTAACACCTCTGTGAGTCTAACATGCCACACTCCTTACAAACTTCTCTTCCTTTTTAAAGATTTGTTATTATTTATGTGGGACTCGCATGTGTAGGTGTCCCCAGAAGCCAACAGAAGGCCCAGATCCCCCACCCCGAAGTTGGTGTTTACAGGTGACTGTGATCCACCCTCTCTCAGGGCTAGAAATAGAATCTTGGACTTCTAGAGGAGCAGCAAACACTCTTAATCCCTGAGTCATCTCTCCAGCTCCACAAAACTCCCTTCTATGGCCACCTGTGAAGTAGCCAAGACATAAGAGTGATTGCCCCATTGGGCAGACGGAGAATACACTGTTAGCAAGGTCTGCACGCACTCCATCCACTCTGCAGATGGAGATGGCAGGAAGATAACTGATAACCATCCTCCGTACAGATACCACACGAGGACTTCAGATGAATCAGAGATGCATGGGTTGCTCCATGGCTCCTGGGGACTTTGGAACACAAGTACAATTAAACTCTGAAGCCCTTCCATGATGTTGGGCCATTGCAAAACTGAGGTTCGTGTTATTCAAGAGTATGGGCGTGCCCCATCTCTCCTCTTCTCTCTTTTTCTCTCGGTCGCTTCTTCTTCCCTTGTTTCTGAGAAACTAGCTCTTCTTGGGGCAGAGCAGGAAGCCATAGCAGGGAAATGAACTGATTTTCTATTTCTTCCCTTTTTAAGGGTCTAAGAGATAGAGAATAAAGCCTGTTGCCATGGTTATATAAACATGGGTAAATATCCCTGGCCTGAGGACGGGGGCTGGGGGACATGATTCAGTTTTGCTGAAGAGGAATCAGATGGTTCAGCCTACACCCTCCCACCTCCTGAAACTCAGTCTAGAGAGAAAATGTGGCTCTCTTAAATATAAAGGGATCAGAGGTTTTGAGACCGGCTGTCGGCATCCTTCTTAAAGACATCTAGAGCTGAAATGGAAGTCTCAGGAAGCATGTGAGCATTTGCTAGTGGGGATAAGTCGTCTGTAGATTTCCTGAAGGTGGGGGTGCACCTCCTGGAATTGGGTCCAAAAGTGTCAATCACTTGGGATTTGCACTCAGATTAGTGAGGGAGGGTAGCCCTCTTGCTCCCACTGCCAGAGCCTGAAGGTCCTGGCACCTATAGATGAGCATCAAGGGAGAGGTAGAGCCAGCTGTGCCCCAACAGAGCTCATCCTGCACTAAACAATGGAAATCCTGCCATCCTCCTGGCTTCAGATCCTGTGGCCCCACCTGAAAGGTTCCCACCCGTCAAGTCCTGGCTTAGCTATGGAGGAGGTGGTTCCCAACTTCTCATTTCCATCGGCGACAGAAGAGCTGGGAGATACATGGCCACACATGTTCTAGAAACTTCAGCATAATAGCATCCTCCCAAAGGGTGGAGCTGTGTTCCTGTTGCCCTCATTCCTCACCTCCTGTGGCTGCAGAGACCATTAGTCCCCTCCCCCCCCTTATAGGCCTCTGGAGCATCAACAGGAAAGGCTGACCTTAGAGATAAACATGTGTTGTTGGAATGTGTTCAGATACCACTCCAGAACAACTACCCGGGGTCTGTTTGAACACACTGGGGAGGGGTAGGCTAGACAGAGACTTCACTCTTCTTGGAAGAGGTTAACTCCTGGCTAGCATGACATCTTCCTCTGTTGACTGGAGATGAAGGGCTGGCCTCTTGTTGCCAGGAAGGTCAAAGGGAGTGAAGCAGCTTCTACAGTGGGGAAGCCTCTTGGATTTAGAATAAAACATCACTCTGAGTTTGAATAAAAGGGGCTTTATGGCTTGGTAGAAGATTCAAAGGCACTGGACATAAAGCTCCATGAGAACACTTTAAAGATTTGGTTTATTGTGTTTATTATTTGAGTGTGTCTGTGCGTGAGTATGTGCCTGAGGAATTCAGAGTCTTCAGATATCCCAAAGCTAAGGTTACAGGGGCTCAGAAGTTTGACATGAAGAAGAACAGCCATCACTCTTAACTGCTGAGCCATCTCTCCAGTCCCAGCGCTCTGTAAGTTGATACTGTTCTTGTTTGCCATTATTTACTTATGTAATGGAAGACTGAGTTCGTTTATCTTCATATTTTGAACGTAGAAAGGCATGAGGGTGGGAGCCTGGGGCAGCTAGTCACACTGCATACCAGTCAGGAAGCAGAGGACAGTAATCCGTTCTCTCCAGTGACGGGCAGAAAGTCGTACCCTGCACCTACAGCTACACAGAAGAAATAAAGGGTGTGCCCTAAGGTAGCACTTTACTAAAATGGTGAGACCCACTCAAGGAGATAGTCCTGGTAGGTCCTTGCCCATGGAAATTTCATGGCTGATCCCCTGGTACTGACAGACATCACCATATCCATACTTTAGATTCCTCACGGCTACTTGACTTTAAGATCGGGAGATCAGTCATGCAGGTGCTAATTCTTATGGGAGAGGAATGGAAGGGAGGTGTTGGAGGAAGAAAAGGTAGCATTTTGAATAAGCATGTATACATGGCTTCCCAGCTCTCTTACCTCAACAATTCAGTGAGTTTTATTGTTGTTGTTATTATTATTATCATTATTTGAGAGAGAATCTTGTTTTGTTGCCCTGGTAGGATTCCTTACATAGCCCAGGCAACAATCCTCCTGCCTCTGCCTCTAAAATGTTGAGATTACCATCATGCTTAGCTCATTGGGAATGTAAAAAATAAGTTAGTGTAAATAACACATGTTTAATCTGCGGGCTGATTGTCATGATCTGGAATTACTGGTAGCTGTGGGCTTGGTGCTTACAGCGCCTAAGCTGTGGTTTCTTCACTCCTTAGGGAACAAATATTTCCATTTTGTAAACTTTTTTGTTGTCAGAATCCCAACTACAAAGAATACCTGAAGAATGTTAGAGAAAATGAGGCATGTTGGTTAAGGGAAATACTTATGGTATTTGTGCAAACCAATGCTGGTAGATGTCTATTGTACCAAGAAGGCTAGCGGCTTGCTTCCTGGACCCTCCTGAGGACATTCTACAATGTCTGCCTCTCTAGAGGCACAGCACTGGCTTCTCTGTAATCTTAGCAGGCCCTGGAACTCAGGGTAAAAGCTATTTTCCTACCTACTACTTGGCCCCTTCCACCAGCTGTAAGCAAGCACCAGGGGTTGCCAGCCTGTCAGGGAGAGACTTGTTAGCAAGTGATTAAGGGGGGCTATCTGCTCCTCCTGAGGCTGTGAGGTAAGCAGAAAATGAGGTCAGTTCTCCAGTTTGGCCTCTACCAGGCTGGCTCCTCAGTCTCTTCTGGTATTTTGTAGGGGCCAAGGAACTGAGCAAGCGCTAATCACTTGTCAACTTGGAGCGGAGTAGAGATTTCAACCAGGACACCCTGAAAGGAAGCAGAGCCAAGGATGACAGCTGACAGGCAGAACTCTCTTCTGAGTCTCCAGTGACTACCATCAGCAATGGTCTGTACCAAGAGACTCGGGTTCCCAGATAGGAAAGGCAGGCGGCCAAGAAATCGCGTCACACTTTACAAATGGCTGTGCACACCAAAGCACTGGAGCTGAGCACACACAGGAGTTGAACGCTGGGGAGTTTGACGGCCTCCTCCTCCCCAGCATCGGGCAGGCTTCCTTTGCTGTGATCATTCCCCCGTGAATCATCATCCGTAGAAAATGAAGGAGGCAATGGAGGGTGAGTAATGAATTCCCCCAAATGGTCTTTTGGGTCTCTGCGTGAAGAGTTTTGAAAACAACTTGCATTTGAGATTTCTGATGTACAACATAGGATTTTGGAGCCACAGAGGACCTTGTAGGAAAATCAAGGCTTGTAACTCCATGGGAAGGCTGGAAAAGATGATAACCAAAACTTGAATCTCTAGTCTGCCAATGGAAAGAGTCCTGACATGGCATGCACGGAGCCTCCCTCATAGCAGGCCCATATTTATTTATGTTTTTGAAACTAGGGATGTGGATCTTCAGTTTTCCTTTCTTCAGAGGAGAGAGGGAAAACATGAGACAGAGACACCTGCCCCAGGGGATGCTAGATCCACCCACCATCACTTCAGAATCTACCCTCTCAGTCATTCTGTTCATTGTGTGGCCTTGAACCAATAAGATAACGTCTTTGGGTTTCAGGCTTGTGCTCTATGATTGCTACAGGTTTAAACACTCTTAACAGTCTGAATTTCCTGCCTAAGTGTATTATTATTTTACAAGCCAGGAAAGCAAAGTACAGAGTGTTGTGACCTGCCCGAGGTTACCAAGATGCTAATGATAGAATTAGCATAGAGATCATGCCCAATGGACTGCAACCACTGACCCCCCCAGACAAGACCTCCTTCCCTTCAGTCTCCCCTCTAGAGTAGCTATTCACAACCTGTGGGTCAAGACCCCCTGGGAGGTCGCATATCAGATATTTACATTACAAGTCATAACAGTAGCAAACTTAGAGTTATGAAATACCAATGAAAATACTTTTACGATTGGGGGTCACCACAATAAGAGGCCCTGTATTAAAGGGTCACAGCATTAGAAGGTTGAGAACCACTGTTCTAAAGGAATCCAAATCCTTTCCTTAGAAGTGCCCTAGTCAATGTTTTCAGCTATACTGGAGATGCTGGGGTTGAGTGTAGCCAGTCATAACACTAAGGCGGAGTTTAAAAGGCCAGTGGTATTTGTCTAGTATCCTGTCTGTGTACTGTTAGCCTTTTCCAGGGCATGAGTGGTGACGTGGGGAATGAGGTCAATGTAGGCCTGCCATGGCACACACACACACTCCCCTTGATGACGTTTCCAGTTGTTTGTCTTCTGTGGTGGTAAGTTTTTTGTTTGTTTGTTTGTTTGTTTGTTTTTTTAACTTGACACAAGCTTAGGTCCTCTGGGAAGAAGGAAACTTCAGTTGAGAAAATGTCCTCATGAGACTGGCCTGTAGGTAAATCTGTGAGGCATTTACTCTATTAATGGCTGATGTGGGAGGGCCTAGGCCACTGTGGACCATGACACCCCAGGGCAGGTGGTCCTGGGCTGTATAAGCAAGAAGGCTGAGCAAGCCATGAAGAGCAAGCCAGTAAGCCGTGTTCCTCTGTGGCCTCTGCTTCCATTCCTGCCTCTGGGTTCCTGCCTTGCGTTTCTGCCCTGACTTCCTTCTATGAAGGGATGCAAACTGAGAGTCAAATAAATACATTCTTTCCTCCTGAGGTGCTTTTGGTTGTGATTTTTTTTTTTTATCACAGCAACAGAAAACAACCTAGGACCTCTTCTCTGAGCACATCTGCCCCTCCGCTCTGTCTGCAGGCTGCTCGTTAACTAGCCTGCAGCCTGGGGTGTGTAATGAGCGTGCCTGGGAGACAAGGTGTGACAAGATCCCAGCTGTGCCCACTGATTGGTGTTCGCCATCTTTGGCAGAATCCCCAGCCCCGTGTGTTCCCTACTGAAGAAGAGATTGAGAGGGGCCATGTGTCAACAGCGTCATTGGTGTGTACCTGACGTGAGAACCAGGGCATGCGGGTGAGGAATGGCTCTGTTCACAGTGGTGCTCTGTCCCTGTGCATGCGTGAGAGCGTATGCGTGGCCCAGATACCCAAGGAGCTCACACCTCCTGGCGAGTGGAAAATGAGCTTTGGCAGGTGAGGAACTGGGTGACAGGTGAGGAAGCCAGCGGGGTATCGGTGTTGTCCGCCTACTCTCGCCGTTTGCTGGGGCTGCTAACAATATCTTCCCACCTTGCCTCCTGCCCTTAATTACAATTAGAGTGAGTGGAAATGACACGGAAGGGCTTGGGCGAGTGGGCAAGGGACAGGAGCATGTTGGAATGGCCTCCTGATCTTTGGAAACTAGCCATGTGTTTTGCAGGTAGGCTGCGCAAGGCCGTTTGGGAATTGGCATTTTCCTGCCCGGTATGCAGGCTGCGCAGCTTACATTCTAGTGGGTGGAAGAAAAGGCCAATCTCTGGGGACTAAATCCTAGGAAATCCTGCCATATGGTGCAAAGCTAGAGGCGGTGTGTGCCAGGACTAGGAAGCAAGAAGTCTGGGTTCCTGGATTGACTGTAGGTCAGCTCCCTAGTCTTTACTGCCTCAGTTTCTTTAGCAACGTCGTGAAGCTAGCCCTCCTATTACTGCTTGCCTGTCATGGAGGGAAAGTACACGAAGGCCCTTAGAAATGTCACAAGATGCGTTCTAAATGTGCGTGAGGCCTCAGTGCCAGGGGAATTTGCCAGGCTTCCTGGGAGGCAGCAGTCTGCCTCTGCATCAGTTTCCACATCCTGGGCTCAGACAGATCCTTCAGCAGGGCACAGCCACAAATCCCATCACCTCCCTACAGTCAGCAAATAAGGGAAAGGACCGGCTGATGCTCTGCCTCTGTCTGATCTTCTTACCAGCGCCCTCCCCACCCCAGCAGAGGCGATGATCCTGCCGCCTCCCTCCTCTTCTCGGAGCTGTCAGTTTAATTTAACAAGGTTGCAGGAGAGGATTGATTTGATCAAGTCAGTTGCTGTATCTATCCCACTCAGAGGTCCCTCAGTGTCACCACCGAGGCTCAGATTAGACAGTGACAATTATTTCCTTTCTGGCTATTGCCTCCCCCTCCCCCTTTCCCTGGAGGGAGCAAGGGGGCAGACCAATCTCCTGGGACCTAAGAATAGATGCGGGAGGATCAGAGGAGGCAAACAGGCTCTGGCCGCAGAAAGCCCCTCTCCGCGCCTTACATGGCCTTGTTTAAGGCTGAGCAGAAACCCAGAGGGTGGGGAGAGAGCAAACCGTGAGTGGCGCTGCCTTGCAAAGGCTCAGGGCGGCCTAAGGACAGAGCTCTGCCTTCTCTGATGGAAACGTCTCCCTGACAGTGGGCAGGCAGAGGTGGAAGGGTGGGTAGGTGGCTGGGTGTTCTACCTCACCCCACCCCAGCGCAAGCATTTGTGTCCAGGCTCTCAGCCTGGATTCTGGGACCTCTGAGGGTGGAAGACAATGGCAGGAGCAAGGTGAGGCTCCATCCATCCTGGTTTCCGTGGCTCTGTTCTTTGCGAGAAAGTAGGAGTGACAGCAGGAGCTGCTGCTAGGGCTTCCAGAAATACTTGAGTGTGAAGTAAGTGGTGTGGTGGTAGTGGTCATGCTGGTGTGTGGGTGTGTGTGTGGGGGGGTGGTGTGTGTGTGCTGGTGATGGTGGTAGTGGCTGGAGGGCCAGGCAAAGAAGGTCCAGAAAGTTTAGAATTCCACAATGAATCTTTCATGACTTGTAACCCTTTCATTTCTCCCTCTTTCTAGGCTGTAGGTGCTAAGGGCCTCTCGCTCTCTTGAGCAGCTCATAGAAGAAAAGCAAAGGGCTCTTGAGCGGAGTCTTCACCGAGGATCGTGAAATCCCTTTTCCTTTGCTCATCTGTGTCATACTCTTCCATAGGCCCAGCAACCGACGGGTGCACCAGTCTTTGGGCCCTCTCCAGGGTCCCCTCTGAGCCACTTATCTCTCACTCCGATATCCAGCAGACCTCGCCATGCCTAGGAGGCAACTATGATCAGTAGAAAGGCTTCCTGACAGTTGCAGGGAGAATCCCTTCCGATGCATATTCAATTGAGCACATTTCATAGAGGTGACAGCCGCTTTATCAATTAAATTCCACATCCCCGGCTTTAGAGACACCACAAATCTCCCTACCTAATAAATCACAGGCCCCCGGTTATTGTTAAATGTCCCGTCAGTCTCTAATAAACTCCCTGCCAAAAGGGACAGGTTATTTATTATCCTGCTTGGACAAGAATGAATTGGGCCCCTTTCTCAGAAGAAGAGCAAACACACCGCCTTCCTCTCTAAAGATTGGGGCAGTGGTGTTAAATGGGGCAATCAATCAACTCGGGCCCTGAGCAGAGGGGAATCTGGTCAGAGTATACGTGGGAGGACGGCCTAGGGCTCTGATCCCAAAGCCAGCCCTGCAGATTCTTGTAGCCAGAGGTGCTTGTTCAAACTACAGGGGCTTAGACGTCTGGTGCAGATCGCCCATACCCAGTTCCATTCTGAGGAAGTACTGAAAAGTCCATTGATGGGGTCGTGGGACATTTGTAAAAAAGGTTATTTTCCTCGTTAGGAAAGGACAATCAGGATTGAGTCGGGTGTCAGGACAACGCACTGATAAATTTGAGGCAAGGTTGTGTTCCTTTACTGCGCATGAACTGGAGAATGGGACAGAGGAAGTGGGAAAGTCTGGGGACAGAAGCCAGCGGAGGTTCAGGGTGAGCAGCATACAGCCAGTGCTGGAGCTGAGAAAGCAAGACCCAGGAGCGGGCAGGTCTGCAAGCCGGGTGCAAAGAGCGCCTTGCCATCATCTGCCTCAGTAGATATGAAGCTTAGCGATGCGCCCAGGTTTGCAAATTAAGTTCTAGCTCCTCCAGCTTCCGGCGAATCGAGTCCCATTTCTATTTCCAACCGTGTTTCTCTTCACTGTTATATAACACGGCCCTCTTTGAAAGAGCATGACAAGCTCATTGTATATTCCTCGCGGTGACAAACGAGGCATTCCTTAACCTGGAGCCAATAATACATCCCTCTAGCCTCATTTCCCGGAACGGCTGCCATCCCAGCCTCCGTTCACACTGGAGGACTTACCTTCTCTAAGCTTCTAAAGTTCCTGATGCTTCCACGCCCCTTCACAGACTGTTCTATCACCCAGAATAGCTTCCTGAGAGTTGTCTGCCTGCTAAGGTCTCCTGCCGCCCCCACTGCCTGAGGAGTTGCGGGGAGAAGCGGCATCCTGGACGAGCAGTAGAGAATATCAGCCTCACTTCTCCCGGGGACACCAGTTTCAGCTCCAGGTACTGACACTGCCCCCTGAGTGCTGGGCTCGGGGACGGAAGACATCCAGCGTGCAGTTTTCCTCTGGGTTTCAGGCACCCTTTAAAGCACTTTGACTTGGTGTAAGGATGAGAAGAACAGAGAAGAAAGAGAGCTGTTGCTCTCTGAATCCCCAAAGCTGTTTCCCTCAGTTTCCCAGAATTTCTCACTCCCACATGACAACCCCACTTTGAGCAAGGAAGGACCTGAAAAATGTCAGTACCGCTCAGGATGTTACACCAGCTTGGGCTGCTTGCATAGCTCATACTTGATGGCTTTTTCCCAGCTGGGCTGCCAGCTCTTTTAGGACAGGCAGAAGAGGTAGGAGTCTGAGCTCTGGTTGGCTTCAGGAGCTCTGGAACCCTGAACAGGTTCTCTTCTGAGGAGTTATCAGAGGGCAGTGACTGTTTCCCATTGCTCTTGAAAGTCTCTGTGGGTCACGAAGCCTGGCCTCCAGCTTATCTCTCTTACCTCCTCAAAGCTCACTCTGTTAGAGTTTGACTGGGAAATGTCCTCAGTAGGCTCATGTGTTTCTGGTCCCCAGCGTGTGGTGCAGTTTTGGGGAGGTGGAGGACATGAAGCCTGGATAAGGATATAGGCCACTGAGAGTGGGCCTTGAGGATTACGGCTCAGTCCTCCTTTGGGTCCTACTGTCTGCTTTCTGATTTGCCAAGGTGTGAACAAACCGTGCAGCAACAGCTCCTGAAGCCACAGACCGCCCTGTTCCAGCCATTCCATCTGCATGCTTTCTGGGCCACGACGGGTGGCACCCGCCGAATTTACGAACCAGATAAATCTCTCCTCATGGAAGCCACTTCTGTCAGGGGTTTTGCCACAGCAATGAGAAAAGCAGCCAACGCTCTCCCTCCACTTTCATTCTAAGAAGTTCTAGAATGTGCTATGGCATCTGGAGAGATGGCTCAGTGGTTAAAATGCCGACAGATTCGATTCCCAGAACCCACACAACAGCTCACAGTCATCTGTGACTCCAGTTCCCGGGTATCTGACACTCTTTTCTGGCTCCTTGGGCACCAGGAACACAAACTATTTCACAGACACTCATGCAGGCAAACAGCCATTCACAAAAAAAAAAAAGAAAGAAAGAAAGAAAGAAATGTGCTGTGGTCTTCTGCGTCTTAAGGCCTCTGGTTTCTCTTTCTGCGATAAGAGCAACAACTTCTATGCAGCCTCCAGAGTTTTTTAATATTTCACTAACTCTGGGAAGATATGGAAGCCTTTTAATTGTGTCATCTGTAATTCCCTCCTCCTTCTGTAGTAATAGACCTCCTTTGGTAGCCTGTAGTTCAAGTTAAATGAGCATCTGTTGTTTAGAAGAATAAGTATACTTCCAATGGACCCAGCAAGATGGCTCAGTTAGTAAAGGTGCTTGCTGCCAAGGCTGATGATCTGAATCCAATTTCCAGGACCCACGAGATGAAGGGAAAGAACCGATTCATACAGACAGAGTTTCCAGATTTCCTTAAAGATAGGCAGGACTCTGCGGGTTAAGTTCTGATTAGTGAAATGCCATGTAGGAGTGTAGCTGCTTTT